ACCACTTCTATTTAACATAGTACTTGAGGTACTAGCCAGAGCAATCAGGCAAGAGAANAGAGAAATATCACATGTTCTCACTTATTTGTGGGAGCTAAAAATAAATAAATATATACACAAAAAAAGCAGGCTGTGTGGAGGGAAGAAGACATAAAAATTACAATTTCTTGAAGTTCATATGAGAAGTAAACAAAAAGGACATTGTTGGGAGGGAGGGGAGAGGGAAGATGGAGGGAGGGAGGTTTTGGTAACTGGCCACAATAATCAACCACATTGTATATTGACAAAGTAAAATGAAATTTGGAAGAAAAAAAAAAAAAAACTACCAAGACTGAACCAAGAAGAGATAGAAAACCTGAACAGACCAATAACAAGCAAGGACATTGAAGCAGTAATTAGCAATCTTCCAACAAAAAGAAGTCCAGGTTCAGATGCCTTTACAGCTGAATTCTATCAAACTTTTAAAGAGGAGTTAATACCAATTCTCCTCAAACTATTCCAAAAATTGAAACAGAAGCTACTCTCCCAAACTCATTCTATGAGGCCAACATAACTCTGATAGGAAAACCATATAAAGACAACAAGAAAAGAAACTACAGGCCAATATCCTCGATGAACCCAGATGCAAAAATTGAAATCAGAATATAGCAACATATTAAAAAAATTATACACTATGATCAAGTGGGATTCATCCCAGGGATGCAAGGATGGTTCAACATACGAAAGTCAATAAATGTGATACATCACATCAACAAACTCAAGAACAAAGACCATATGATTATCTCAATAGATGCTGAAAAAGCATTTGACAAAATTCAGCATCCCTTCATGATAAAGACTCTCAACAAATTAGGTATAGAAGGAAAATATCTCAGCACAATAAACGCCATTTATGACAAGCCCACCACCCTATCATTCTAAATGGGGAAAAACTGAGGGCCTTTCCCTTAAGAACAGGAATAAGACAAGAATGCCCACTCTCACCACTTCTATTTAACATAGTACTGGAAGTACTAGCCAGAGCAATCAGGCAAGAGAAAGAGAAATAAAAGGAATCCAT